AAGAAGACAGGACTACAGATGAGGAGATAGTTTTTTAAATTATCAAAAATAAGAGGATACTACATGCTCCACTAAATTCATGGCAACAAATCCGAAAACTCAGAAGAAATGAGCAACTTTCCAGTAAAATACAAATGACCAAAACTGACCCAAAAGATCTGAGTAGGTGAATTACCATAGAAGACACTGGAAAGGTGGTTAAGGGTATACCAACAGAAAAAGGCAATAGGACCAGATGGGCTTCACAGCTGAGTTTTACCTGACCTTAAAAAAAAAAAAAAAAACACTTCTAAACCAACAACAAAATAAAGAAAAAAAGAAAAGAAAAAGCATGTTAAAAAATAAAAAAAAAAAATTAATAAATTGGGTAATTAAATTGTTCCAGGCCAGACAAAGAGAAGAAGTATGCTGCAATTCAATTTTAATCCTTACCCCTGATGAAAAAAATCCCCCAAAATGACTCCCATCTCACTTATGAATACTGAGACAAGGGTTCTAAATATACGATTGATAGGAGTGCCTGGGTAACTCAGTTGCTTAAGCATCAGACTTCAGCTCAGGTCATGATCTCACACTCCATGAGTTTTGGCCCCGCGTGGGGCTCTGTGCAGCTCAAAGCCTGGAGCCTGCTTTGGACTCTGTGTCTCCCTCTCTCTCTGTCCCTCCCTTGCTCATGATTTCTGCCTCAAAAATAAATAATAAAATAAAAATAATAAATAAAGGATTGACAAATGGAATCCAGCAATGTATCAAAATAATATAACACGAGCAGCAGGACTTACTTCAGCATGTAAGAGTAGTTCAAAACCAGTAAATTTATGAACATAGGTCACTGTATCAAAAAGTTAAATGGAAAACAAAATACTCAACAGACATAGAAAAAAGCATTTGAGGGGCACCTGGGTGGCTCAGTCGGTTGAGCATCTGACTTCAGCTCAGGTCATGATCTTGCGCGATCCGTGAGTTGCACTGTCAGCACAGAGCCCACTTTGGATCCTCTGTATCCCTCTCTTTCTCACTGCCCCTTCCCCACTTGCACACACGCATGCACAGGCACGTGCACTCTCTCTCTCTCAAAAATAAATAAACATTTTAAAAAATTATAAGAGGGGCGCCTGTGTGGCTCAATCAGTTAAGCACCAGACTTCAGCTCAGGTCAAGATCTCACAGTTCGTGTGTTCGAGCCCCGCATCCAGCTCTGTGCTGACAGCAGGGAGCCTGGAGCCTGCTTCGGATTCTGTGTCTCCCTCTCTCTGCCCCTCCCCAGCTCATGCTCTCTCTCTGTCTCTCTCTCTCAAAAATAAATATTAAAAAATTATAAAAAATAATTTTAAAAATTATAAGAAAAAAGCATTTGATAAAATGCAGGAACTGTTTTCTTGGAAAATCTCTAAGTTAATGCAGCATTTACATGCAATAGACTATTTAACATACACCAACAGCAAACAGGGAGAAACACAGAGAACAACTCCATTTAAGATCAGTTTTACAGGGATGCCCGGGTGGCTCAGTCGGTTAAGCGTCTAACTTTGGCTCAGGTCATGATCCCGTGGTTCGTTCGAGCCCTACATAGGGCTCTGTGCTGACAGCTCAGAGCCTGGAGCCTGCCTCAGACTCTGTGTCTCCCTCTCTCTCTCAAGAGTAAACATTAAAAAAATTTTTTTAAAAAAGATCAGTTTTATACACAGCAGCCCACCAGCACCATTTTTACTTAACTCTGAGTTTCAAGCAAAAGCAATAACCGAAGAAAATAGCTGGTATAACCACTGGAGAGACAGCATAAAATGAAAATTAATTTTACCAAAACTAACAAGAGGATCTGATAGGATGGCTGGACCTGAGAACTACTGCTAAAATCAACAACCTTCTTCTAGCAAGAAGCAGTTAGGAATGGAAAGGAGAACATTCTTCAACTCATCAGGGACAGAAAAGCTATTAATTCTTTAGGAATAAATGTATGAAGAAAGGCACAAAATGAGATCTGAACAGATGGAAAGAAATACCATTTCTTCGATGAAAAGACCTACATAATTTTCAAACATCAGTTCTCACAAAACTGAAATATACATTTAATGCAATTCTAATTAGAATCTAAATAGGGCTGATGGGGAGGGTTGAATAAAAGTGACCTTAAAATTTACATATAAGAAAAATATGCCAATGAATAGCCAAGAAAAATATTTTTTATGCTAACCAATCAACAAAATCATTTAAGTAATCAAATCAACATGTTTGAGTAGACAGATATATGAAACAGAATAAAGGATCCAATGAATGAATTCTTATATATGAGAAGTTTAGTAGGTAACAAAAATGGTAGTTCAGTTCACAGAGAAAAATAGGAATTATGTAATATATCATGCTAGTACAACTAACTAGCCATCTTTACGAAAATCATCTTAACCAAGACTGGGAACTCAGAAGCTATAATAATATTTGAATGTGAAAAAATGTAAAAAATCACACAGAAAAACATACTATCAGCCAAGTCAGTACATACAGATCAGGGAAAGATATCTATAATGATGCCGATAGGCAAAGGGCCAATATCTAAAATATACAAAGAAGTCTTACAAATGAAGAAAAATCTAAACAATCCATAAGAAATGGGCAGATGGTATGAACAGACAATTCAAAGAGCTAATTTAATTGGATAAAAAAATGTGAGATAATACTGAAATTCATTAGTAGCCAAGGAAATACATCCATTAAGTTGTCAAAATTATAAGTCATAACACCTTATGCTGGAATGGATATGAAGAAAGTAATCATCTCATGTATTACATATAAAAGGGAAAAGCGAATTATAACAGCCGGTTTTTGTACATCAAAATGGAAAAATCTATTAACATAAATATATATTTATATGTAAACATTCGTGTTTGTGTGTGTGTATAAATTAAAAGCACCAGTATATAAGGGCATATGTACAATGATGTTGATTTCTGCATTGATTATAGTGGCAGCGTTCTGGAAAGAACACATGTAAACATTCATTAATAGAAGAATGGCTACGGTAGGGCGCCTGGGTGGCTTGGTCGGTTAAGCGTCCGACTTCGGCTCAGGTCATGATCTCACGGTCCGTGAGTTCGAGCCCCGTGTCGGGCTCTGTGCTGACAGCTCAGAGCCTGGAGCCTGTTTCAGATTCTGTGTCTCCCTCTCTCTCTGCTCCTCCCCTGTTCATGCTCTGTCTCTCTCTGTCTCAAAAATAAATAAACATTAAAAAAAAAATTTAAAGAAGAATGGCTACGGGTGCCTGGCTGGCTCAGTTGGTAGAGCATGCAATTCTTGATTTCCGGATTGTAGGTTCAAGCCCCATGGAGGGTGTAGAGATTAAAAAATAAAAATCTTTTAAAAAAAGAAGAATGGCTACATAAATTGTGTATCCATGAAATATTTGGCAGTTTTGTGAAAGAATAAGGTATACCAGTAAACTTTGATAAATTCCCATGAGATATCGCTGAGTAAAAAGCAAGATGTATTACAGTATATATAAGATTCTATGTTTGTAAAACAATCAATGAACAACAACAGCAAAACATTCCAAAACCCCTGTGTGTCAGTGTGCACATGCATGCATGTATGTGTACATACCTATGAGCAAAGAAAAAAAAAAACCAGAAGGCTACATACTGGTTTGGTAATATGCAGGTGTGGAAAGGTAGAGGTAGGAGCCAAACAAAATAAAGAAAAATAAAAAAAATAACCACTATAAAAAAAAGATATCTAGCAATAATGTTTATGTATTTTCATATGCATACATGTATAAGGAAATTGAATTAAATTTAGAAAAGATACAGTAAGAATCCTAAGTATGATCTCTGCTTATTTAAAAAAAAAAAGCGGTAACTGAAATTATTTCTTGGTGGTAGATTAAGGGTGATGCTTATTTTCTTCCTTATGTGTCTCTGTATTTTCTATAATGAGAATTGTTACTTTAATAATAATGAAATAAAACCAATAAATGTTACTTTCAAAACATTACACTGAAAAATTGAGCTCATTTTGGGAAATCAAGGGAGGGAAACAGGGCTAAATAGCCTTCCGTTTAGGGTACAAGAAATCAGGATCCATTTGCCCTCATCCAGCAGAAAGCTACTCACCTAAGGCAAGAGACTAAGTGGCTATTCCAAGGAGCTGTTTGAAGCAGCAAACGGGTATATTTCCCCCTACCTAACACATTAACGACTTAAGTAAATCAGAAAGCCATTCACACCACTCTGAATTACCCAAAGATCTACTGGGCCCCTTACTTCCTGTCTCTTCCCTCTGGCCTGTGGCCATTTCACTGCTCAAGAACAGCTCCAAAATGGGGGCCAGGGAAGGGGGAAAGAGATGAAATTAATTCGGTGGATTTAGCTTCTCATTAGCAACTCCACTTGAGAAGTGAGATGGTCACAACTCATGGTTAAAAGGAGGGTTCCGGGACTCTTGACAATTTCACTGAAGCCCATTTGCCTTCAGATAAACATGATTTGCCTACAATACACTTTAATGGATTTGATGCTTGCTATTTTTAAGAAAGTCAGAACTTGTAATAAGGTGCTATTTTTCTCTCCTCACTTTAAACTTTTAAGAAAAAAAAACGCAGAAACATACGAACAAAGGCCTTCGAAGTGAAGGACCATATCCTCAGTGGAGCAGCTGGACCACAGTGCGATGATTCTTGAGAGGAGGGAAGCTGTCTGGCCCCCAGCATGCTCTCAAGAGAAACTGTAGGAAGCCAGCAATCTTCCAAGGGAGCAGGCCTTGGCCATAAACCACCACCACAAAACACTCACTAAAAAGGACTTGTCAGGGCTTGACAAAAGCCAAGTCTCTCCATATCAGATCTCCGTGTTTCACTCTACAAAAGCCTCGTAGACTTTTGTCCCTTGGGAAGCCCCCAGACAAAGTGGTGCAGGCCCAAGATGTTCCCACAGATGTGCTCATGTGCTTTGTCATGAAACACAATGTTCGGAATCGCAATGGTAACAGAGCAAAAAACAATTGTCCCTTACTTGAACACGACGATAGCTCCCGGACACGGAGGGCAGGCCAAGAGAAAGATCTGCAAGTAAAAAAGAATTAGGAATGGTTATCATGAGGAATACTGTACACAGTTAGAAAATGTTAGTTCATTAATAATAGTAGTAACGGTAGTAACAGTACCAATAAATAACCAAACTAACACAAAAAATGCAATATAAAAACGTAGAGAGGCAAGCAGGTGGTCTTCCACACGTACTTCTGTTTGCACAGGCATCTAGGTATGTGGATATGTCTAGGGGTGTGTGTGTGTGCGTGCGTGTGTGAGACTGGCAGAAAAGGGAGACAGATAGAGACTGAGGGAATGTTTAGGGACAAGGTAGGAAAAGCCTTTTTTAGACCCTTTTAGCCTCTAGAACACTTCCTCTTGACCTCTAGAGCAGGACTCAATTTTTCAACTCTTCAGTGTCAATATGATCCAGCAGCCAGTCTGAGAAGCTTTTAACCCAGGGCAAACAAAAATATATCCTATGAATGGGACAAAATACGCAAATGCCATCTGGTTTGCCTCCCACGGGGGAAGGTAGAGTAATCAATACCCAGCACTGCCAGATTTAGCAAATAAAAAATACAGGAGGCCAAGTTAAATTTGAATTTCAGATAAACAATGAATAATGTTTTTGTGTAAGTATGTTCCATGCAATATTTAGGATATACTTATATAAACACATTATTCATTGTTTACCTGAAAAATTCAAATCTAACTGTGCCTCCTGTATCCTATCTGGCAACTCCACCAATATGGCCACCCCCAGGCTCCAAACCTCCCTTTGATTTTGAAGGGGCGCAAATTTTGCCACCCTGAAATATGTCTCTTTGGCATAAGGATGATTTTAAGTTGGTTATTTTTTAAGAAACAGTAGACATAGGAAAAGCTCTGAAAAGTGAGAAGTTTACCCTTCTGTAGGAGACACGTACATTTATAAGGGAAATCTCCACTTCTAAGAATGACTCCCCCTCTGTACCAGGAAAAGGAGGATGATTCAGACTCTAGAAAGTCTTATCAATGGGGAAGACTCTGACCTCAACCTGCATAATGACCTTACCCTTGATCACCATGCTCTTCCTGGCCTCTTCCCATAATTGACCTTCTGCCCTACACCAGCCCCACCACCCAACATCTTTCTTCTGTCTCTAAGGCTGGGGATGGTATCTAAGGTGATGGCTTGGGCCATTCCAGGGAGTTACTCAGTTTTCTTGCATCTCTCCTACGTATACAGGAGGGTATACATGCTATTAAACTTCCATTTGTTTTTCTCCTGCTAACTGGTCTTTTATTACGTGGCAGGGGGTGGGGGGGGGGGTGGTAGCAGCCAAGAACCTAGAAGGGTAGAGGGAAAATTATTTTTCCTTCCCCACATTTGACTGGCTTATTTCTAACCATGATCAGGTAGTTCTATACTTCTATTCCCCTCCCGGGGCAAACCAAATGAAAAAGAACCTCGTCCAGGGCGCCTGGGTGGCTCAGTTGGTTAAGCTTCCAACTTTGGTTCAGGTCAAGATCTCATGGTTCATGAGTTTGAGTCCTGCATCAGGCTCTGTGCTGATAGCTCAGACCCCAGAGCTTGTTTTGGATTCTGTGTCTCCTCTCTCTCTCTGCCATCCCTCCCCTACTCATGCTTTGTCTCTCTCTCTCAATAATAAATAAACATTAAAAAAATTTTTTAAAAACAACCTTGTCCTTCTAAGAGACAAATCAGTCCCATGCTGCTTGGTTTGACCTAGGCTGGGGTTATAGAAAAACATGTGACAGTTTGACCTTCATGAAAGCAATGATTCTCAAGAGGGACAAAGAAACCCCTGCAGAGCTCTTGTTAAATATGCAGATTTCTAGCTGCCCCATTAGGAATGCTGACTCCAAAAGTCTGGGACTCCAGGAATCTGCATGTTTAACAAATGCCCAGGGAGATCCAACCACTCATGGCAACCAGATAAGATGACATTCAGCAGGACTACAGATTAATCAAAGAACGAAACACATGTTGGTGGAGTTCCTTCCTCTACAGTGATTTATTGGTATGGTTTGCAAAGTAATTGATCTGTGTTCCTATCTTGTTGTAAGCATTTATTTAGAAAGCTTATCTGCATTATGCACTTGTTTGGCTTACGTTGTATATATGTTAGCATTTGGCTCTTTGGTTCTCTCAAAATCTACATTTAGAAGTAAAGGGTACTATAAGCAAAGTCACAAAGAAAGATACCTGCTTGAATCCCTAACAGGAGGAAGAGAAAAGAAGAACAGAAAAGAGGAAGGGTCTTACAAAGAATGTGGCCAGGAATCCACCACCCACAAAATACCTGAGCAGAGAACCCAGCCAAGGAAATACCCACCGAGAACGAGCCTTTCCCCCTGTGGATCAATTTGATTAAAAGTGCAAAACCAATGACAATTACAGGTCCATAACCCTCATCGGCAATCACCAAATCCAAAAGGCTCTAAAAATCAAAAGTTGGATTCTTTTCAAAGCTAATTTGGTAGCAAGTAGGACTTGAACGGATCTGAGACTATTTATAAAGTTTCATTATACCATTTATGCTGAGTATTCATATGGCTTCCATAAAAATAGTATCTTCTGATTATGGTGTGCTACCATAGACTCCACTGAGGGTAGATGTAAAATACTCCACACTCACCATGTTGCTTTTCTGATTTTTTTCAAGTAAGCTCTATGCCCAACGTGGGTCTTGAACTCATGACCCCAAGATCAAGAGTTGCATGCTGTATGGACTGAGTCATCCAGACACCCCTGTATTTCCTTTCTGAAATCCAGAAGTTTCTGACTTCTGAAATACATCTGACCTGAATGGTTTGGGATAAGGACTGTCAATTTGTTATTTCAATCATCCAAACATTAATATATCCCTACTCCCCTTCCACCCCTCAGTAGCAGTCCAAGAAAGAGTCAAAGCTGGTATTCTCTACCACTGACCCTTGCAGCAAAGCTAGTCACCTTAAGCAAGGGACCAAGTTGGAGGTTTGCACATAGTCACCCAGCATCAGGCCCATCAAAAACCACACTCACAGTATAGAGTATACACAGAGCAGACAGGAGCCCCCAACCACCTTGAAAAGGCCCTCAATACTTCTGGAGTCCCCTAGGAGCCATGACAGCAGCCTTCCTGAGTTTCTGGAATAGCCAAGATACTTCATGCTAACGTGCTTAACAGAGAAGCAAAAACAACACTGGGCCCCACAGTTAACTCTTACTTTTCCTATAGCCAAGAACAGATGAGCAGATTACTGGGGCAGATTTCCCTATAACTGCTCCATTTGGCTGGTTCGGATTCATGACAGCCCTGTGCCAAAAGCCCAGAAGCCTACTAAAGGGAGCGAAGGCTCCAGTCGCAGCAACCCAATGACAGGTCTAATTTCATTTGAGGCAGCTCATCAATCTAGCTTTGACCCTAAGTGAGGTTCCCAACAGTTACTGTCACGTGGCCAAGTCATTCCACCCAGCACTTTGGCCTTTCTCATCCAGCCTGTCTATTCCCAACACTGGGACACAGGGTATCTGCTTGAGGCAATCTTTCAATCAGACACATGTAGACCTATCAAATGAGCAGGTCTGAAAAAGGACTCCAAATTCATCATATTCTAGTTCCAGTAAACCTGTGGCCTCCCTCAGCAACTTCAAAGATTTACAACATTGAACCTCTCTGCCCTAGCCTGCTGGAGCCACATCCATAAGCAACGTTAACCAAAGGAGCCATGTGAAAATAACATTTTAATTCAGAGGTCCGATGGCCCCCCAGCCTCGGCCTGAATATCCCTGCTCTCTTCCTTGCTAGCCTGCCAGCCGCCTCCGAATTTTGGTAGCGTGTTTTAGGCCAGCAGATGGAAAGCTAAACTATCCCTTCGGTTGCAAACAGAGTGGGAAGAAAAGCCACTTGGGAGAGCAAACAAGGACGGGAGGAAGAGGAGAATGCATGTGTGCGTACCCCAGCACCAACCTGGCACTTTTGTACTTGTGCTAAGATCTGCCCAGTTCAGCACCTGAAGAAAAGGGCAGGGCTAGGTAACAGAGATGTGCTAAAAGCATTTCTACTTTCCTGTTGTCTGGGAGATGGGCAGGGCCTTGTTATTAAATCCCATTTTGCAGCTGAAGAAACCTAAGGGAAAGGGTTCCAACAAGAACCAAGATTCCCTAACCTCTAGTTCCACTCACTTTCCACCTCACACCTGACACGGTCCCAACTTCATAAGGGCTGCTCTTCTCTGCTTTTTTTTTTTAATTTTTTTAAATGCTGATTTATATTTGAGAGAGAGAGAGCGCACGCGAGCAGGGGAGTGGCAGAGAGACAGAGACAGAATCTGGAGCAGGCTCGAGGCTCTGAGCTGTCAGCATAGAGCCCGATACGGGGCTCGAAGTCGTGAACCATGAGACCACGACCTGAGCCAAAGTTGGATGCTTAATGGATTCAGTCACCCAGGCGCCCTGTGGGCTGTTCTTTAGACTCTGGACCTGCCCCGTGACCCAATGGCACATGGAGTCACCCCAGGGGCCCCACACCCATAGCACCACACAGCTCACAAGACGTAGTCACTACAAGGTGAGACATTTCCAAACACAACCTAACCAGGCATCAAATTATGTTTACACAGATGGGTTTCAGAGTTCAGCATTCCCTAAAGATGTGTTCACCTTAACTCCAACCCCTCTCATTCAGAACCAGGTCTGCTGGGTTCTGATACTCCCTGCATCCTTTGTTTTTTAAGTTTACTTATTTATTTATTGTTGAAAGAGAGAGAGAGAGACAAAGAGCAAGTAAGGGAGGGGCAGAGAGAGGAGGAGACGCAGAGAATCCCAAGCAGGCTCCGCACTGCCAGCACAGAGCCCGACGCAGGGCTCCAACTCATGAACCGCGAGACCATGACCTGAGCTGAGACCAAGAGTCGGACACTTAACTGACTGAGCCACCCAGGGACCCCTATTCCTTGGATCCTTCCAAAACTGAAGTCTTTTCCTGGAAAAAAATACACGGGTTCCATTCAAAGCCATACCGTCTCATATTATGGTAAGC